GGTCTAAGGCGCCAGACTCAAGGTTTGACTCCTTCTTCAGGAAAGAGGCTCTGGTCTCCAATGGGAGGCGTGGGTTCGAACCCCAGTTCTGACATGTCTTTACCGTTTTATAGTCCACTTTGGACACTAATTTATTTTGACTCGCTAACTTTTTCAAGGTGGCAGAAAATGTTTGTCTTTCCTTGTTTTTGTGTCAGGATGGCCGAGTGGTCTAAGGCGCCAGACTTAAGGATCGGCTCTGTATGCAGTAAAGAGAATTCTGGTCTCCAATTGGAGTCGTGGGTTCGAACCCCACTTCTGACATGTCTTTACCGTTTTATAGTCCACTTTGGACACTGAATTATTTTGACTCGCTAACTTTTTCAAGGTGGCAGAAAACGTTTGTCTTTGCTTTATTTGTGTGTCAGGATGGCCGAGTGGTCTAAGGCGCCAGACTCAAGGTTGACTCTGTATGCAGTAAAGAGACTTCTGGTCTCCAATTGGAGTCGTGGGTTCGAACCCCACTTCTGACAGTCTTTACCGTTTTATAATCCACTTTGGACCCTAAATTATTTTGACTCGCTAACTTTTTCAAGGTGGCAGAAAACGTTTGTCTTTGCTTTATTTGTGTGTCAGGATGGCCGAGTGGTCTAAGGCGCCAGACTCAAGGTTCGGCTCTGTATGCAGTAAAGAGACTTCTGGTCTCCAATTGGAGTCGTGGGTTCGAACCCCACTTCTGACATGTCTTTACCGTTTTATAATCCACTTTGGACCCTAAATTATTTTGACTCGCTAACTTTTTCAAGGTGGCAGAAAACGTTTGTCTTTCCTTTGTTTGTGTGTCAGGATGGCCGAGTGGTCTAAGGCGCCAGACTCAAGGTTTGACTCCTTCTTCAGGAAAGAGGCTTCTGGTCTCCAATTGGAGGCGTGGGTTCGAACCCCACTTCTGACATGTCTTTACCGTTTTATAGTCCACTTTGGACACTAATTTATTTGACTCGCTAACTTTTTCAAGGTGGCAGAAAACGTTTGTCTTTGCTTTATTTGTGTGTCAGGATGGCCGAGTGGTCTAAGGCGCCAGACTCAAGGTTTGACTCCTTTCTCAGGAAGAGGCTTCTGGTCTCCAATTGGAGGCGTGGGTTCGAACCCCACTTCTGACATGTCTTTACCGTTTTATAGTCCACTTTGGACACTAATTTATACATGACTCGCTAACTTTTTCAAGGTGGCAGAAACGTTTGTCTTTCCTTTGTTTGTGTGTCAGGATGGCCGAGTGGTCTAAGGCGCCAGACTCAAGGTTTGACTCCTTCTCAGGAAAGAGGCTTCTGGTCTCCAATTGGAGTCGTGGGTTCGAACCCCACTTCTGACATGTCTTTACCGTTTTATAATCCACTTTGGACACTAAATTATTTTGACTCGCTAACTTTTTCAAGGTGGCAGAAAACGTTTGTCTTTCCTTTGTTTGTGTGTCAGGATGGCCGAGTGGTCTAAGGCGCCAGACTCAAGGTTTGACTCCTTCTTCAGGAAAGAGGCTTCTGGTCTCCAATTGGAGGCGTGGGTTCGAACCCCAGTTCTGACATGTCTTTACCGGTTTATAGTCCACTTTGGACACTAATTTATTTTGACTCGCTAACTTTTTCAAGGTGGCAGAAAATGTTTGTCTTCCTTGTTTTTGTGTCAGGATGGCCGAGTGGTCTAAGGCGCCAGACTTAAGGATCGGCTCTGTATGCAGTAAAGAGAATTCTGGTCTCCAATTGGAGTCGTGGGTTCGAACCCCACTTCTGACATGTCTTTACCGTTTTATAGTCCACTTTGTGACACTGAATTATTTTGACATCGCTAACTTTTTCAAGGTGGCAGAAAACGTTTGTCTTTGCTTTATTTGTGTGTCAGGATGGCCGAGTGGTCTAAGGCGCCAGACTCAAGGTTTGACTCCTTCTTCAGGAAAGAGGCTTCTGGTCTCCAATTGGAGGCGTGGGTTCGAAACCCCACTTCTGACATGTCTTTACCGTTTTATAGTCCACTTTGGACACTGAATTATTTTGACTCGCTAACTTTTTCAAGGTGGCAGAAAACGTTTGTCTTTGCTTTATTTGTGTGTCAGGATGGCCGAGTGGTCTAAGGCGCCAGACTCAAGGTTTGACTCCTTCTTCAGGAAAGGGGCTTCTGGTCTCCAATTGGAGGCGTGGGTTCGAACCCCACTTCTGACATGTCTTTACCGTTTATAGTCCACTTGGACATAATTTATTTTGACTCGCTAACTTTTTCAAGGTGGCAGAAAACGTTTGTCTTTGCTTTATGTGTGTGTCAGGAGGCCCGAGTGGTCCTAAGGCGCCAGACTTAAGGTTTGACTCCTTTCTCAGGAAGAGGCTTCTGGTCTCCAATTAGAGGCGTGGGTTCGAACCCCACTTCTGACATGTTTTAACGTTTTATGATCCACTTTGGACACTAAATTATTTGACACGCTAACTTTTTCAAGGTGGCAGAACATTTTTTGTCTTTCTTTGTTGTGTGTCAGGATGGCCGAGTGGTCTAAGGCGCCAGACTTAAGGATCGGCTCTGTATGCAGTCAAGAGACTTCTGGTCTCCAATTGGAGTCGTGGGTTCGAACCCCACTTCTGACATGTCTTTACCGTTTTATAGTCCACTTTGGACACTAATTATTTTGACTCGCTAACTTTTTCAAGGTGGCAGAAAACGTTTGTCTTTGCTTTATTTGTGTGTCAGGATGGCCGAGTGGTCTAAGGCGCCAGACTCAAGGTTCGGCTCTGTATGCAGTAAAGAGACTTCTGGTCTCCATTGGAGTCGTGGGTTCGAACCCCACTTCTGACATGTCTTTACCGTTTTATAATCCACTTTGGACCCTAAATTATTTTGACTCGCTAACTTTTTCAAGGTGGCAGAAAACGTTTGTCTTTCCTTTGTTGTGTGTCAGGATGGCCGAGTGGTCTAAGGCGCCAGACTCAAGGTTTGACTCCTTCTTCAGGAAAGAGGCTTCTGGTCTCCAATTGGAGGCGTTGGGTTCGAACCCCACTTCTGACATGTCTTTACCGTTTTATAGTCCACTTTGGACACTAATTTATTTTGACTCGCTAACTTTTTCAAGTGGCAGAAAACGTTTGTCTTGCTTTATTTGTGTGTCAGGATGGCCGAGTGGTCTAAGGCGCCAGACTCAGGTTTGACTCCTTTCTCAGGAAAGAGGCTTCTGGTCTCCAATTGGAGGCGTGGGTTCGAACCCCACTTCTGACATGTCTTTACCGTTTTAGAGTCCACTTGGGACACTAATTTATTCATGACTCGCTAACTTTTTCAAGGTGGCAGAAAAAGTTTGTCGTTCCTTTGTTTATGTGTCAGGATGGCCGAGTGGTCTAAGGCGCCAGACTTAAGGTTCGGCTCTGTATGCAGTAAGAGACTTCTGGTCTCCAATTGGAGTCGTGGGTCGAACCCCCACTTCTGACATGTTCTTTACCGTTTTTTAATCCACTTTGGGACACTAAATTATTTTGAACTCGCTAACTTTTTCAAGGTGGCAGAAAACGTTTGTCTTTCCTTTGTTTGTGTGTCCAGGATGGCCGAGTGGTCTAAGGCGCCAGACTCAAGGTTTGACTCCTTCTTCAGGAAAGAGGCTTCTGGTCGTCCAATTGGAGGCGTGGGTTCCGAACCCCACTTCTGACATGTCTTTACCGTTTTATAGTCCACTTTGGACACTAATTTATTTTGACTGGCTAACTTTTTCAAGGTGGCAGAAAAAGTTTGTCCTTTGCTTTATTGTGTGTCAGGATGGCCGAGTGGTCTCTAAGGCGCCAGACCTCAAGGTTGACTCCTTTCTCAGGAAAGAGGCTTCTGGTCTCCAATTGGAGCGTGGGTTCGAACCCCACTTCTGACATGTCTTTACTCGTTTTATAGTCCACTTTGGGACACTATTTATTCATGACTCGCTAACTTTTTCAAGGTGGCAGAAAAAGTTTGTCGTTCCTTTGTTTATGTGTCAGGATGGCCGAGTGGTCTAAGGCGCCATACTTAAGGTTCGGCTCTGTATGCAGTAAAGAGACTTCTGGTCTCCAATTGGAGTCGTGGGTTCGAACCCCACTTCTGACATGTATTTACCGTTTTATAATCCACTTTGGACCCTAAATTATTTTGAACTCGCTAACTTTTCAAGGTGGCAGAACACGGTTTGTCTTTCCTTATGTTTGTGTGTCAGGATGGCCGAGTGGTCTAAGGGCGCCAGACTCAGGTTTGACTCCTGCTCAGGGAAAGAGGCTTCTGGTCTCCAATTGGAGGCGTGGGTTTCGAACCCCACTTCTGACATGTCTTTAACCGTTTTATAGTCCACTTTGGACACTAAGTTATTTTGACTGGCTAACTTTTTCAAGGTGGCAGAAAAACGTTTGTCTTTTGCTTTAATTTGTGTGTCAGGAGGGCCGAGTGGTCTAAGGGCGCCAGACTCAAGTTTGACTCCTTTCTCAGGAAGGAGGCTTCTGGTCTCCAATTGGAGGCGTGGGTTCGAACCCCACTTCTGACATTTCTTTAACCGTTTTATAATCCCCTTTTCAGGTGGCCGAAAACGTTTGTCTTTCCTTTATTTGTGTGTCAGGATGGGCCGAGTGGTCGAAGGCCCAGACTTAAGGTTCGGCTCATGTATGCAGTAAAAAGAGACTTCTGTGTCTCCAATTGGAGTCGTGGGTTCGAACCCCACTCTGACACGTCTTTACCCGGTTTTATAATCCACTTTGGACACTAAATTATTTTGACTCGCTAACTTTTCAAGGTGGCAGAAAAACGTTTGTCCTTTCCTTTATTTGTGTGTCAGGATGGCCGAGTGGTCTAAGGCGCCAGACGCTCAAGGTTTGACTCCTTTCTCAGGAAAGAGGCTTCTGGTCTCCAATTGGAGGCGTGGGTTGCGAACCCACTTCGACATGTCTTTAACGATTTTATGAGTCCCCTTTGGACACTAATTATTTTGACTCGCTAACTTTTGTCAAGGTGGCAGAAAACGTTTGTCTTTCCTTTGTTTGTGTGTCAGGATGGCCGAGTGGTCTAAGGCGCCAGACTTAAGGATCGGCTCTGTATGCAGTAAAGAGAATTCTGTGTCCTCCAATTGGAGTCGTGGGTTCGAACCCCACTTCTGACATGTCCTGTAACCGTTTTATAGTCCACTTTGGACACTGAATTATTTTGACCTCGCTAACTTTTTCAAGGTGGCAGAAAACGTTTGTCTTTGCTTTATTTGTTGTGTCAGGATGGCCGAGTGGTCTAAGGCGCCAGACTCAAGGTTTGACTCCTTTCTCAGGAAAGAGGCTTCTGGTCTCCAATTGGAGGCGTGGGTTCGAACCCCACTTCTGACATGTCCTTTACCGTTTTATAGTCCACTTTGGACACTGAATTATTTTGACTCGCTAACTTTTTCAAGGTGGCAGAAAACGTTGTCTTTGCTTTATTTGTGTGTCAGGATGGCCGAGTGGTCTAAGGCGCCAGACTCAAGGTTTGACTCCTTCTTCAGGAAAGGGGCTTCTGGTCTCCAATTGGAGGCGTGGGTTCGAACCCCACTTCTGACATGTCTTTAACCGTTTTATAGTCCACTTGGACAATAATTTATTTGACTCGCTAACCTTTTTCAAGGTGGCAGAAAAACGTTTGTCTTTGCTTTATTTGTGTGTCAGGATGGCCGAGTGGTCTAAGGCGCCAGACTTAGGTTTGACTCCTTTCTCAGGAAAGAGGCTTCTGGTCTCCAATTAGAGGCGTGGGTTCGAACCCCACTTCTGACATGTTTTTAACGTTTTATGATCCACTTTGGACACTAAATTATTTGACACGCTAACTTTTTCAAGGTGGCAGAAAATTTTTGTCTTTCTTTTGTTTGTGTGTCAGGATGGCCGAGTGGTCTAAGGCGTCCAGACTTAAGGATCGGCTCTGTATGCAGTCAAGAGACTTCTGGTCTCCAATTGGAGTCGTGGGTTCGAACCCCACTTCTGACATGTCTTTACCGTTTTATAGTCCACTTTGGACACTAAATTATTTTGACTCGCTAACTTTTTCAAGGTGGCAGAAAACGTTTGTCTTTGCTTTATTTGGTGTGTCAGGATGGCCGAGTGGTCTAAGGCGCCAGACTCAAGGTTCGGCTCTGTATGCATAAAGAGACTTCTGGTCTCCAATTGGAGTCGTGGGTTCGAACCCCACTTCTGACATGTCTTTACCGTTTTATAATCCACTTTGGACCCTAAATTATTTTGACTCGCTAACTTTTTCAAGGTGGCAGAAAACGTTTGTCTTTCCTTTGTTTGTGTGTCAGGATGGCCGAGTGGTCTAAGGGCGCCAGACTCAAGGTTTGACTCCTTCTTCAGGAAAGAGGCTTCTGTATCCAATTGGAGGCGTGGGTTCGAACTCCCACTTCTGACATGTCTTTACCGTTTTATAGTCCACTTTGGACACTAATTATTTTGACTCGCTAACTTTTTCAAGGTGGCAGAAAACGTTTGTCTTTGCTTTATTTGTGTGTCAGGATGGCCGAGTGTGTCTAAGGCGCCAGACTCAAGGTTTGACTCCTTTCTCAGGAAAGAGGCTTCTGGTCCTCCAATTGGAGGCGTGGGTTCGAACCCCACTTCTGACATGTCTTTAATACCGTTTTATAGTCCACTTTGGACACTAATTTATTCATGACTCGCTAACTTTTTCAAGGTGGCAGAAAAAAAGTTTGTCGTTCCTTTGTTTATGTGTCAGGATGGCCGAGTGGTCTAAGGCGCCAGACTTAAGGTTCGGCTCTGTATGCAGTAAAGAGACTTCTGGTCTCCAATTGGAGTCGTGGGTTCGAACCCCACTTCTGACATGTCTTTACCGTTTTATAATCCAACTTGGACACTAAATTATTTTGACTCGCTAACTTTTCAAGGTGGCAGAAAACGTTTGTCTTCCTTGGTTGTGTGTCAGGATGGCCGAGTGTCTAAGGCGCCAGACTCAAGGTTTGACCTCCTTCTTCAGGAAAGAGGCTTCTGGTCTCCAATTGGAGGCGTGGTTCGAACCCCACTTCTGACATGTCTTTACCGTTTTATAGTCCACTTTGGACACTAATTTATTTTGACTCGCTAACTTTTTCAAGGTGGCAGAAAACGTTTGTCTTTGCTTTATTTGTGTGTCAGGATGGCCGAGTGGTCTAAGGCGCCAGACTCAAGGTTTGACTCCTTCTCAGGAAAGAGGCTTCTGGTCTCCAATTGGAGGCGTGGGTTCGAACCCCACTTCTGACATTTCTTTACCGTTTTATAATCCCTTTTTCAAGGTGGCAGAAAACGTTTGTCTTTCCTTTATTTGTGTGTCAGGATGGCCGAGTGGTCTAAGGCGCCAGACTTAAGGTTTGGCTCTTATGCAGGAAAGAGACTTCTGGTCTCCAATTGGAGTCGTGGGTTCGAACCCCACTTCTGACATGTCTTTACCGTTTTATAGTCCACTTTGGACACTAAATTATTTTGACTCGCTAACTTTTTCAAGGTGGCAGAAAACGTTTGTCTTTCCTTTATTGTGTGTCAGGATGGCCGAGTGGTCTAAGGCGCCAGACTCAAGGTTTGACTCCTTTTCAGGAAAGAGGCTTCTGGTCTCCAATTGGAGGCGTGGGTTCGAACCCCACTTCTGACATGTCTTTACCGTTTTATAGTCCACTTTGGACACTAAATTATTTTGACTCGCTAACTTTTTCAAGGTGGCAGAAAACGTTTGTCTTTCCTTTATTTGTGTGTCAGGATGGCCGAGTGGTCTAAGGCGCCAGACTTAAGGTTTGGCTCTGTATGCAGTAAAGAGGCTTCTGGTCTCCAATTGGAGGCGTGGGTTCGAACCCCACTTCTGACATGTCTTTACCGTTTTATAGTCCACTTTGGACACTAATTATTTTGACTCGCTAACTTTTTCAAGGTGGCAGAAAACGTTTGTCTTTGCTTTATTTGTGTGTCAGGATGGCCGAGTGGTCTAAGGCGCCAGACTCAAGGTTTGACTCCTTCTTCAGGAAAGAGGCTTCTGGTCTCCAATTGGAGGCGTGGGTTCGAACCCCACTTCTGACATGTCTTTACCGTTTTATAGTCCACTTTGGACACTAATTTATTTTGACTCGCTAACTTTTTCAAGGTGGCAGAAAACGTTTGTCTTTCTTTATTTGTGTGTCAGGATGGCCGAGTGGTCTAAGGCGCCAGACTCAAGGTTTGACTCTTCTTCAGTAAAGAGGCTTCTGGTCTCCAATTGGAGGCGTGGGTTCGAACCCCACTTCTGACATGTCTTTACCGTTTTATAGTCCACTTTGGACACTAATTATTTTGACTCGCTAACTTTTTCAAGGTGGCAGAAAACGTTTGTCTTTCCTTTATTTGTGTGTCAGGATGGCCGAGTGGTCTAAGGCGCCAGACTCAAGGTTCGGCTCTGTATGCAGTAAAGAGGCTTCTGGTCTCCAATTGGAGGCGTGGGTTCGAACCCCACTTCTGACATGTCTTTACCGTTTTATAGTCCACTTTGGACACTAATTTATTTTGACTCGCTAACTTTTTCAAGGTGGCAGAAACGTTTGTCTTTCCTTTATTTGTGTGTCAGGATGGCCCTGGAGAGTGGTCAAGGCGCCAGACTTAGGTTCCTCTGTATGCAGTAAAGAGGCTTCTGGTCTCCAATTGGAGGCGTGGGTTCGAACCCCACTTCTGACATGTCTTTACCGTTTTATAGTCCACTTTGGACACTAAATTATTTTGACTCGCTAACTTTTTCAAGGTGGCAGAAAACGTTTGTCTTTCCTTTGTTGTGTGTCAGGATGGCCGAGTGGTCTAAGGCGCCAGACTCAAGGTTTGACTCCTTCTTCAGGAAAGAGGCTTCTGGTCTCCAATTGGAGGCGTGGGTTCGAACCCCACTTCTGACATGTCTTTACCGTTTATAGTCCACTTTGGACACTAATTTATTTTGACTCGCTAACTTTTTCAAGGTGGCAGAAAACGTTTGTCTTTCCTTTATTTGTGTCAGGTCAGGCCGAGTGGTCTAAGGCGCCAGACTTAAGGTTTGGCTCTGTCTGCAGTAAAGAGGCTTCTGGTCTCCAATGGAGGCGTGGGTTCGAACCCCACTTCTGACATGTCTTTACCGTTTTATAGTCCACTTTGGACACTAATTATTTTGACTCGCTAACTTTTTCAAGGTGGCAGAAAACGTTTGTCTTTCCTTTATTTGTGTGTCAGGATGGCCGAGTGGTCTAAGGCGCCAGACTCAAGGTTTGACTCCTTCTTCAGGAAAGAGGCTTCTGGTCTCCAATTGGAGGCGTGGGTTCGAACCCCACTTCTGACATGTCTTTACCGTTTTATAGTCCACTTTGGACACTAAATATTTTGACTCGCTAACTTTTTCAAGGTGGCAGAAAACGTTTGTCTTTCCTTTGTTGTGTGTCAGGATGGCCGAGTGGTCTAAGGCGCCAGACTCAAGGTTTGACTCCTTCTTCAGGAAGAGGCTTCTGGTCTCCAATTGGAGGCGTGGGTTCGAACCCCACTTCTGACATGTCTATACCGTTTTATAGTCCACTTTGGACACTAATTTATTTTGACTCGCTAACTTTTTCAAGGTGGCAGAAAACGTTTGTCTTTCCTTATTTGTGTGTCAGGATGGCCGAGTGGTCTAAGGCGCCAGACTAAGGTTTGGCTCTGTATGCAGTAAAGAGGCTTCTGGTCTCCAATTGGAGGCGTGGGTTCGAACCCCACTTCTGACATGTCTTTACCGTTTTATAGTCCACTTTGGACACTAAATTATTTTGACTCGCTAACTTTTTCAAGGTGGCAGAAAACGTTTGTCTTTCCTTTATTTGTGTGTCAGGATGGCCGAGTGGTCTAAGGCGCCAGACTCAAGGTTTGACTCTTCTTCAGGAAAGAGGCTTCTGGTCTCCAATTGGAGGCGTGGGTTCGAACCCCACTTCTGACATGTCTTTACCGTTTTATAGTCCACTTTGGACACTAATTTATTTTGACTCGCTAACTTTTCAAGGTGGCAGAAAACGTTTGTCTTTCCTTATTTGTGTGTCAGGATGGCCGAGTGGTCTAAGGCGCCAGACTTAAGGTTTGGCTCTGTCTGCAGTAAAGAGGCTTCTGGTCTCCAATTGGAGGCGTGGGTTCGAACCCCACTTCTGACATGTCTTTACCGTTTTATAGTCCACTTTGGACACTAATTTATTTTGACTCGCTAACTTTTTCAAGGTGGCAGAAAACGTTTGTCTTTGCTTTATTTGTGTGTCAGGATGGCCGAGTGGTCTAAGGCGCCAGACTCAAGGTTTGACTCCTTCTCAGGAAAGAGGCTTCTGGTCTCCAATTGGAGGCGTGGGTTCGAACCCCACTTCTGACATGTCTTTACCGTTTTATAGTCCACTTTGGACACTAATTTATTTTGACTCGCTAACTTTTTCAAGGTGGCAGAAAACGTTTGTCTTTGCTTTATTTGTGTGTCAGGATGGCCGAGTGGTCTAAGGCGCCAGACTCAAGGTTTGACTCCTTCTTCAGGAAAGAGGCTTCTGGTCTCCAATTGGAGGCGGGGTTCGAACCCCACTTCTGACATGTCTTTACCGTTTTATAGTCCACTTTGGACACTAATTTATTTGACTCGCTAACTTTTTCAAGGTGGCAGAAAACGTTTGTCTTTCCTTTATTTGTGTGTCAGGATGGCCGAGTGGTCTAAGGCGCCAGACTCAAGGTTTGACTCCTTCTTCAGGAAAGAGGCTTCTGGTCTCCAATTGGAGGCGTGGGTTCGAACCCCACTTCTGACATGTCTTTACCGTTTTATAGTCCACTTTGGACACTAAATTATTTTGACTCGCTAACTTTTTCAAGGTGGCAGAAAACGTTTGTCTTTCTTTGTTTGTGTGTCAGGATGGCCGAGTGGTCTAAGGCGCCAGACTCAAGGTTTGACTCCTTCTTCAGGAAAGAGGCTTCTGGTCTCCAATTGGAGGCGTGGGTTCGAACCCCACTTCTGACATGTCTTTACCGTTTTATAGTCCACTTGGACACTAATTTTTTTGACTCGCTAACTTTTTCAAGGTGGCAGAAAACGTTTGTCTTTCCTTTGTTTGTGTGTCAGGATGGCCGAGTGGTCTAAGGCGCCAGACTCAAGGTTTGGCTCTTATTCAGTAAAGGACTTCTGGTCTCCAATTGGAGGCGTGGGTTCGAACCCCACTTCTGACATGTCTTTACCGTTTTATAGTCCACTTTGGACACTAATTATTTTGACTCGCTAACTTTTTCAAGGTGGCAGAAAACGTTTGTCTTTCCTTTATTTGTGTGTCAGGATGGCCGAGTGGTCTAAGGCGCCAGACTCAAGGTTTGGCTCTGTAGCAGTAAAGAGGCTTCTGGTCTCCAATTGGAGGCGTGGGTTCGAACCCCACTTCTGACATGTCTTTACCGTTTTATAGTCCACTTTGGACACTAATTTATTTTGACTCGCTAACTTTTTCAAGGTGGCAGAAAACGTTTGTCTTTGCTTTATTTGTGTGTCAGGATGGCCGAGTGGTCTAAGGCGCCAGACTCAAGGTTTGACTCTTCTTCAGGAAAGAGGCTTCTGGTCTCCAATGGAGCGTGGGTTCGAACCCCACTTCTGACATGTCTATACCGTTTTATAGTCCACTTTGGACACTAATTTATTTTGACTCGCTAACTTTTTCAAGGTGGCAGAAAACGTTTGTCTTTCCTTTATTTGTGTGTCAGGATGGCCGAGTGGTCTAAGGCGCCAGACTCAAGGTTTGCTCTGTCTTCAGAAAGAGGCTTCTGGTCTCCAATTGGAGGCGTGGGTTCGAACCCCACTTCTGACATGTCTATACCGTTTTATAGTCCACTTTGGACACTAATTTATTTTGACTCGCTAACTTTTTCAAGGTGGCAGAAAACGTTTGTCTTTCCTTATTGTGTGTCAGGATGGCCGAGTGGTCTAAGGCGCCAGACTTAAGGTTCGGCTCTGTTCAGTAAAGAGGCTTCTGGTCTCCAATTGGAGGCGTGGGTTCGAACCCCACTTCTGACATGTCTTTACCGTTTTATAGTCCACTTTGGACACTAAATTATTTTGACTCGCTAACTTTTTCAAGGTGGCAGAAAACGTTTGTCTTTCCTTTATTTGTGTGTCAGGATGGCCGAGTGGTCTAAGGCGCCAGACTCAAGGTTGACTCCTTCTCAGGAAAGAGGCTTCTGGTCTCCAATTGGAGGCGTGGGTTCGAACCCCACTTCTGACATGTCTTTACCGTTTTATAGTCCACTTTGGACACTAATTATTTTGACTCGCTAACTTTTTCAAGGTGGCAGAAAACGTTTGTCTTTCTTTATTTGTGTGTCAGGATGGCCGAGTGGTCTAAGGCGCCAGACTCAAGGTTTGACTCTGTTCAGAAAGAGGCTTCTGGTCTCCAATTGGAGGCGTGGGTTCGAACCCCACTTCTGACATGTCTTTACCGTTTTATAGTCCACTTTGGACACTAAATTATTTTGACTCGCTAACTTTTTCAAGGTGGCAGAAAACGTTTGTCTTTCCTTTATTTGTGTGTCAGGATGGCCGAGTGGTCTAAGGCGCCAGACTCAAGGTTTGACTCCTTCTTCAGGAAAGAGGCTTCTGGTCTCCAATTGGAGGCGTGGGTTCGAACCCCACTTCTGACATGTCTTTACCGTTTTATAGTCCACTTTGGACACTAATTTATTTTGACTCGCTAACTTTTTCAAGGTGGCAGAAAACGTTTGTCTTTCTTTATTTGTGTGTCAGGATGGCCGAGTGGTCTAAGGCGCCAGACTTAAGGTTCGGCTCTGTATGCAGTAAAGAGGCTTCTGGTCTCCAATTGGAGGCGTGGGTTCGAACCCCACTTCTGACATGTCTTTACCGTTTTATAGTCCACTTTGGACACTAAATTATTTTGACTCGCTAACTTTTTCAAGGTGGCAGAAAACGTTTGTCTTTCCTTTGTTTGTGTGTCAGGATGGCCGAGTGGTCTAAGGCGCCAGACTCAAGGTTTGACTCCTTCTTCAGGAAAGAGGCTTCTGGTCTCCAATTGGAGGCGTGGGTTCGAACCCCACTTCTGACATGTCTTTACCGTTTTATAGTCCACTTTGGACACTAATTTATTTTGACTCGCTAACTTTTTCAAGGTGGCAGAAAACGTTTGTCTTTCCTTTGTTTGTGTGTCAGGATGGCCGAGTGGTCTAAGGCGCCAGACTCAAGGTTTGACTCCTTCTTCAGGAAAGAGGCTTCTGGTCTCCAATTGGAGGCGTGGGTTCGAACCCCACTTCTGACATGTCTTTACCGTTTTATAGTCCACTTTGGACACTAATTTATTTTGACTCGCTAACTTTTTCAAGGTGGCAGAAAACGTTTGTCTTTCCTTTATTTGTGTGTCAGGATGGCCGAGTGGTCTAAGGCGCCAGACTAAGGTTTGGACTGTTGCAGTAAAGAGGCTTCTGGTCTCCAATTGGAGGCGTGGGTTCGAACCCCACTTCTGACATGTCTTTACCGTTTTATAGTCCACTTTGGACACTAATTTATTTTGACTCGCTAACTTTTTCAAGGTGGCAGAAAACGTTTGTCTTTCCTTTATTTGTGTGTCAGGATGGCCGAGTGGTCTAAGGCGCCAGACTTAAGGTTCGGCTCTTCTCAGTAAAGAGGCTTCTGGTCTCCAATTGGAGGCGTGGGTTCGAACCCCACTTCTGACATGTCT